GTAGTGTACAGTAACAATAGCAATTCAATGCTTAAGTGATAGTAGGTGTTTCGAGAGGGATTTTTCTTCCTTTCTTTGAAAGATTCCCACATTTTTTTGTGAGAAGATGGAGAAGTAGAAAGCCAAAACTTCTTTTTTCCAAAAATTATTCTCTCCTTGCAAAGGAGGGTGCTTGCTGCAGCAGCTTCATCGGACCAGAACCTGTCTTTGGCATCGCTTTAGGCTTTGCCAAACAAACATTGAACACCTGGATGGCAAGAAGATTTATGGACTTATGGTAGAACCTTCCAGGATTGGCTCCAAGGTGTTTATTCACCTTCCGAAGCTTGATACCAAACAGTTGTTGGCCTACAGTAGGGATGAACTACGACGTCTAACAGGCCTTCTCACAGGTCACCGTCACTTAAATCATCATATGCGGAGACTCGGGCTGTCGGAAGACAGTATGTGACGCCTCTATTAGGAAAATGATGAAACTTTGTGCCTGCCCCGCTGAGGACCGAATCAGCTTTTCAGAGTTTGGCAAAGCCGTACTTTTACCATCTGACCTGAACGACCATTCACCATACTAACTAATCGGCTTCGTTAAGAAGCTGGGTTTATTTGGCCGAGTGTGAATCAGTGTGAGCCACAATAAACCCTTATGGGTTGCGGTGGAGGGTCGAATAGACTCACTCACTTCTGACCTAACCTAAGAGGACCAAATCGATTATCTTCAATAATGAAGCTTCATAATCGCCTACAGATTATAAAAGGGTGCTATTACTTTTGCTGGAATAAAAGTCATCTTCCCAGAGGCCCGTTGTTTTTCGAAAGAGCGTACCAGGAAATTTACTTATACTGCCCTTTTAAGGAATATTTAAAGAGCTGAATCTGTCACAGAAGAACTGCAATTTTGAATGCATAACTGCTCAGCGACAGTGTCCTATAAGATGAGTTATTAGAATTCATTTCCTGGAGCTCGTAGTTCCTTTTGTGGTTCTCATGAAGTTTCTGGCATAAAGTGCCGGTGCTCGACGCCGATCATCGGTCGGTGTGTGCCAGGTCCCGTTCCCACATGTGGTTCACTATTGGAATTTAGACGACCGGTATAAAATCGGCCGTCCACAATCGGTGTGTGTGCAATTAGCCTTTTAGGGAACAGCCATTTTAGAAACATACTAAAATGTAATTTATTCAATACGAATCACAAAAAAATTTTTTACTTTTTGGTGTACACCTTTCTGATTCTAAGGAAAAGGTTTTCATGAAAGGTTTCCCAAACTCAAAATAGCTGAATTCTTGGCAGTATTTTGATGAAAGAATGTTCTCGTTTTATATTTTTTATGGAAATGGTTTTACAGTTGTCAAGCAATGAAGAGTGACAACCTTTGTTTCTGTGAACTGGTAATAAAACAAATGTATTGTTGTGGGTTGTGTATAATGTGTCGATGTGTGCACGGTCAAGTTTGATGAAAACTTATGATCAACAGAAACAATTAACTTCATAATAGCATGGAACAATAATAGTGCTCCCACGATAATTATCATTAGTTTTGCAATTAAGTTACAATCAACTTTCAAACTAGAGTAAACGACCTTTGTAGGGCTTCGAACGCATTACACGCATCGGTTGTAATGCTTTTGTCTATTGCTTTGAAAATTATTCATTATTTTTATGATCATTAACTTATGATCAACTTTGTTGATTCTCTGGCGGTATATTATAAGACTAAATGTTCTCTACTCAAAGAATACTATTTTCAAAACACCTGTTGTTTAAAATACACAAAGCTCATATCGATAATTTTTTTACTGCATGGCTTCCTATTCATCAAAAAATTTTTTCCTAAAGTTTGAAAATGGGCGACTTATATGGAAATATTTCTTTCTTTCACTAGTTCAAAAAATTTCTTTATTTTTGGCGAATAAAGAGCCATGAAATATCGAGTAAATATTCAAAAACAGCGCCTTCTTATTGAACACATATTTGGGCTCTTTTCTTGGCCCTACTTGTTGCTTTCAACCCAATTCGGCCATAAATTCTATCAATTATAGTTTCAATATAATTTATCAGTTCATCTACATTATTGTTTTATTTTGTACACCTCATTTTTCAGACATCCCCAAACATAAAAATCTAGAGGTGTCATGTCTGGTGAACAATGAGGTCACCGAACACGACCATCTGTTTCCAAAAAAGTCTCGTAACAACTGAAATCATGTGCTTGTGCTCCATCCTGCTGAAAATAGATTATCTGACGAGCCTCCAGATCAAAATCTGCCAACACTCTTGTTAATTAATAAATGTAACGGGGTCAGTTCAAAGAACCATATCACAGTTTTTCTTGATGGGAAAACGGCATTTCGATAAATATTCGAACAGTAGTTGACAGTTACAATAATTCATTACATACTTGAGAATATTTGACTAATAGTATTTCAACAAAGTTTCAAGGCGACTTGATTACTCATAATAATTCTCCTTTATCGAATCAAACACATTTTTCACAACCGTATCAATATGACGCTCCGGTATTTCTTCTGTACAAAAACGACTTCAATGTTATCATTATTGCAGACTTATTTTGAGTTCAAATCCCAGCGCAATTTTTTTTTTGCTGTTAGTAACAAAAAATTGTCATTCGTACCAAAATTGGGCGTTTGAACATTCATGAGGTTTTAAGTGCCAGAACAAAGAAATTGTTTTTACTAGTGAAATAAAGAAATATTTCGACATAAGTCGCCCATTTTCAGCTTTAGGAAGAAAGCTGATAATTTCACTAAAGATTTTACAAAACAGCAACATGTGTTTCACTATACAATGGCTGAACACGTGTTGCGGATTTGTAAACTGTTCAGTTTATATCTCAGAATGAAGTGTTACCAGAATATATCTTCTCACTTCTTACTTTATTACATCAAAACTCTTTCAATTCATTTGAACGGTTTAATCTTTCAACTGAATTTTTTAAATTATATCCTAGTCAGTTGAATTCTTATGAAAGTTATAATTAATTCAAACTGATAAGAAAATACTTTTCATGAGAAAATAGTTTTTAGGGATAAAAATCGGGGTGACTGGCGCAACCTTTGTAGGAAAGTATTAATAACAGGCAGATATGGTCACCTAACACCTGATGCCTTTGAGGAGTTGTGCCACCACTTACCCAAGCAACTGCTCCAAAACCAGACCAGCAGCCGAGATGCACCCGGGAGGGATAATACTACTCTCCCTACACGGCCACCACCGTGCTCACCACCCGGTAGACCCAAAACTCGGTTCCTAAAATGCTAACAAGTCTTCCCCCCCATTACTTTGTCTCTGACCCACTCGGGGGGTCCGAGGCAACGTGATGGGTTCCATAACGATGACTTGTTTACTGATGACAACCCTGGCAATGACAACAGATGCTTTTAATGGACGCATCAGCTAAGGGATGGCCTTATGTATTGCTAAGAGAGCAGTGAGCTCGCGCTAAGAAGATACATGGTGGAAAGGCAACATACTCTGTAGAGCATGCGCGCCTTTTCTGCCCAAAACCTTAGGAATTATGAATCTTATCTTCGACGGCAGGGCTATATAACTCCTCTCCAGCCTGCTAACGAAGTGGTGGGACTGGCAGTTCCACCACCCTTTGTCGCGGCTGGAGAGTGGACTCGCATCACGGCACCAGTGGATACAATCAGAACACTCAGGTCGCTCCACCGAATTAAGCACTTGAAGCTACAAGAACTGGCTCGTATATATGCCTGACGTTATTTCAGGAAAGGCTGACATCTGCCAAATTAACGACTCCATGTACACCGCCGTTCAATCGGTTTCCGAATCGAAATGACGGAATATTGACTTCGCGTGTTTGGATTGAACGGTGGGGACACAAGATGTAGGGTAAGATCAAGTTGGCGAGACAACACACGTCTCGTATCCAACGTGTGATGGATTACAGGGCAGCCAATAGACAGACTATTTAAGAACGTTATGCGGCGAACAGCCGCCAAATTAAGACGTATCCATCACACTTCGAGTCAAGGTGTGCTGCTGATCACCAAACAGCATTGCTTCGATAGGATACGAACACTAGTGGTTGCTAAAAAGTCACTAGTGAGGCAAACGATTTTTGCGAGAAACTTTCTCGCTTATTACAAAAGCCTTCGCATGCTGATCAGGTGGAATCCTTCTGGAACGCCATTAATGAACACCCGCAGCCACTCAATCTAGGCAGTTCGAAGCTTCCAGCTGGGGCAGCTTGATAACGCCTGAAGAGCCGCGGTAGATTTTAAGAACTTTACTGCTCTAGACCCAGATTGACTGAACACTTTGGCTATGGCCTGGATTGTATGCTCAGATACCTAGCAGTACCCGACAAAACAGTGAGATCCCTTGTACAATTAATGACACTCTGCCTTTACCATAACATCTGATCAGGCTGGAATACAAACAGAAAGGGTATATTTCAGGGCGATTTCCTCGGTTCCCTTATTTTCTGCATCTCACTAATTCAATCATCTGTTGCGCTCAGTAATACTCGAGGGAATAACCCGGAAACCGAAGGCATTAAATCATTTGTTTTGTATGAGTGATGTTGAACTTTATGCTACTAGATATCCTGATATCCATCAGCCCATGACTGGTCGAAGAGTACACGCATCCTATCGGAATGGAGGTTGCTGCGTCGAGTATGTATCCCGTTCCGATCTTACTCCTTCTTCGAATAATGAAGAGAACGCGATGTAATACCCGAAAAATGATGCCGTTTCACGGTTGTAGTTCCCTCGACAACAGGAAAGCAACTGATGATCTCATAAAAATTCTGAAATTGAGAAATAGTGAGACTGCAAATATAGTAAAGTTTCAGAGCATGAATAGACTGAAGTTGAGTACCAAATACATCTAGTTCTCTACTTCACTTCCTTAAAAATAGGTCAGTTTGGGTGTATAGCTCCACCAAAAAATTTCACAAAAATTTTGGCATCTAGTATATCATGACATTTGCTCTGTTACATAAATTACCAATTACCTGTTCGTTCTCTGCACAACTCGGGGGGTGATTTTTCTTCTGTCTTCTCCGGTTTCTGGCATTCCTTTTTCGAAAACACAAACCATTTTTTCTTCTTGCCCTTTCTGTTGGCCTTACTCGAACATAAGCCTTCCGATGGTTTTGTACTTAAAGCTCTTGGGAATTTTACGATTCTTGCTATGCCAAGAATTATCGCACTTATTGATTTTGGTGTGATGTTAGATGCCATGTTTATGAATGTTTACGAAAGTGACAGGTGCTTGGAAAAGTTTGTGACAGTTTTGACATTAGATCTAGATTAACCTTTACAAGCTCAGTGTACCACACCGTCAGCGGCCATGGAGATCCTCCTAGATTTACCTCCTCTCCACATTTTTCTGGAGAGCTAGATGGACTGCATACAGAATTGCGCACATTGCCAATTGCACAAATCAATTTAATGCAGAACAGACTGTTGGTTTGCACTGGAAGTCACAGCTTTCTGGAAATGACCTCTGACTTTATGCCTCCAACTGTAAACTACGAACTGCCTTATAAAGTACTATTCCCGAATAGAGAGGACTGGATCCTCCGGGAGAAGGGGGATGGTTCACAGATGGATCAAAAACACCTTCCGGTTCTGGTGCAGGTGTTTTTAGTCTCAGACCCATGACAGAGATATGCTTTGTGCCTGTCCCGCTGAGGACCGAATCAGGTTCTTAGAGTTCGGCAGAGCCGTACTCTTACCATCTGCCCTGAAAGACCACTTACCATACAAACTAATCGGCTTCGTTAAGAAGCTGGGTTTATTTGGCCGATTGTGAATATGTGTGAGATACAATAAACCCTTGCGGGTTGCGGTGAAGGGTCGAATAGACTCACTCACTTTGGACCTTACCTAATCTATACGAATAAGTTTGGATCATGATGTAGAGATTTATTGATATTACATATAAAATTGTTGGTATTCAAGTTGGAATTTGAATTGAAGGATTATTATCCTATTTTTGTAAAGTTATATGAACCAATGAAGTGTGATCTTTAAGCCTAATTAGTCAAAATAACACAACTTTTGTCATGTAGTTTCTGATTTGTGCGAGACGTTTCTCATCCGAAATATAGAGACCTATTCTGTAAACTCCGTAGACTCTTCCAGCTGATTCCACTACGTCTGTCTGTATTTTCTGTTAAAATCTGTTATTCCGTTAACCAGCCCCCCCTACGAACGACAACTCTCAGAAGTCGAAATTTGTGCGAGCTAAGGACTAACGAGGTCTTACCTTCTGACGTGTGATTCCTAACACGGGTTGGACAATAGGAAGTGAAAATCAATCGTCTGGCCTTGCGGTTCAAACCACCGATTCGCACAGCGGTCGAATGAGTGAGTGGAGCAACCACCCACGTCAACCCACCAGGCTACCGTCCCACCAAAATGATTGTGCCTGACACAGATGGTGACATGTTCTCCTATCTGAATTTTCACCACATAGTCATAGTTTAGGTAAAATATTTCAAATAACACGTTGTTTGTTCAAGTAACATGTTGTTTGTTTCGTAATCTGCTCAGTCTTCGATGTTATCAGATAGGATATTAAGATAATTTGATAAAATGTCATGAAGATGTGTTTATTTTTTGTGTCACGATTGTTTGACAATAGCTACTTGAAGATGAGACTAAACCAGTGTTGCCAATTGATTAGTAGTTGGAATACGAGGTCCGGGCTATTAAATAACGAGACTGGTTACGAAAAAGGGTTTTATAATAAAAATTGTTCTACATTCGAATGCTCTCCTTCAATATACTCCCCTCTCCTCGTCTTCTTTGGTGAGGACCTTTAGGAGGCCGTTTTTGCTTTACCGTTTCCATCGACTCAAATCGGGTTCCTTTCAAAGCAGATTTTATCTTCGGAAACAAAAAAAATTGCACGGTGCCAAACCTGGCGAGCACTGGAGTGCGTTTATCGGTCAAATACCGGAGTTGAAACAGTGATATGGCGACCTGGGCGCTGGTCATCTTCAGTGCTCTCTCGGCCCTCACTGAAGCGCTTACACCACTCAAAAACACGTGCACGAGATAGAGAATTGTCCCCATAGGCCTCTTGTAACAATTTATAGCACTCAGTCGGAGTTTTTTTCAATTCAACAAAAAATTTGAGATTGATACGTTGCTGCTGTTTTTCGTCACACATGGTTTTCGGCACGAGAAAAAAACACTTTCGTTTCAAACCACTACTGCACAAATACTATAATAGTGACGAAAATGTGTTTTGGTACGTGAATAGAGAAGATGTCCAGATACCCAACGCACTACTCGTTATTTTTCTACCCCTCTAGGCGCGCAGTCTCGTTATTTCATAGTCTCGCAGTCTCACGTAATTGTTTCAAATCAATTTGAAACAATTACGTGAGTGTCGGAAAAGTGCTTTTTCTATAGTCAGACACTGTTAGTATTATTTGTAAATATATTTGTAACAACTATCTGCATCTGTGCCACATCTCACTTTGCTAGAAACAGTTTAAACTCTGGAGTAGTAGTATCTAGTAGTAGTAGTATCTAGTATTTTGAAGATTAGTCAGGCAATAACAGACACTGATGAGGTGTAGAAATAGAAACGCTTCGACTCCGCACGGGTGCAATGCTGATACTGAATATACATATAAACGCGTGCGATCGCTGCTAATTATAAAGGGCCAAGCGTGGCCTTCGACGAGCTATTTAAAGGCACACGCCGCTGGCCCCTCGGCCGGTACCGCCATCGCTTGGTCTCTGCATTTTAAATCTGAAATATCTTCGAAAATATTCATTTAAATTGCATGCTGTAAAAGGCCATATTGATCTATATTGAATGCACAATGTATTTAAGGTTCTTATCTCATTAAATCGCTTCGTAAATAAAGAATAAAAATTGTCGTTTTGGTTATTCCTGAGAGATTGACATTGTACAATGTACTACTGCAGTACATTTTTTTACCTATCTCGTAGGGTTCTGCCACCGTTTGCAATGTAAGCGCAAGAAATGTGTTTATTTACGACATCACATTAGAAACCTCTTAAATTATCAGTGTTTATCTAATATATTATGCATGTTATATACATATAAAGATTCCTATTGAATCACTACATCTATTAAAAAAGCCCGCATCAAAATCCGTTGCGTAGTTTTAAAGGTCTAAGCATACATACAGGGTGTCCCTGGACTTCCTCTTTTCCTCTCGGGAATGTATAGATGGGATCAAAATATCACCAGTACTTCATATAACTTTTTTTCCTAAAATCCTTCGTTACCAAGTAACGGGCCCTCGAAGTTACAAAATGAAAAATGTTTTTCTTTGATAACTTTTCAAGTGAATATTCAAAATCATCCAAATTTTGGTAATTGACTAAACAAATGAATTCCTTCGATGAGCTTTC